GGAAGGCTGAGGCGGAAGGATCACCGGAGCCCAGCAGGTCGAGGCTGCGGCGACCGGGAGTGGCCACTGCGCTCCAGTCTGGGCGACAGAGTGAGACTCCAACTCAAAAAAACAAAAACAAAAACAAAGTGACTGTACCATTTCACATTCTCATCAACAATATATACAGGTGCCTGTGACCACACATCCTCATCAACACTTGTCCGTCTTTTTTATTATATCCCAAATCTTTTATTTTGCTATTTTTTTACTTCATTTTATTATTATTTTTTAAATCAATATTGTTTATTATGATATTGTGGGGTACAGTTAAGGGTCACTCCCAGGTCTATATTCGAGAAATGAAAATACACATCCAGGCTGGGTGTAGTGGCTCACACCTATAATCCCAGTACTTTGGGAGGCTGAGGTGAGAGGATTGCCTGAGCTCAGGGGTTCGAGACCAGTCTGGGCAACTTGGTGTGATCTCATCTCTACAAGCATACAGATATGCTTCGTTCAGGCACCCTTGTTGATAAGGGGTGTCTCCCCATCCCCAGACAGATATTGACTACCGTTAATCCCATACTATTTTTTATTTTAAAGATGTGGGTACACGTCAGGATTAGGTACATAAGTGGTCTACATGCAGGTGAAGTTTGGGTCTCCCAGCGGTCCTCACTTGCCCTGGTTTACTCAGGTACCCTTAGTGATGTTACATAACCCCCTCCTCCCCCAGCAGTGACCTGCTATTGCCAATCCCTTTTTTTTTTGAGTTGGCGTCTCACCCTGTCACCCAGACTGGAGTGCAGCAGCCGCTCCCGACCACTGCAGCCTCAACCTGCTGGGCTCCGGCGATCCTTCCACCTCGGCCTTCCAAGTAGCTGGAATTACAGGCATGCGCTACCATGCCCGGCTGATTTTTTGATTTTATTGTAGAGATGAGGTCTCACTAAGTTGCCCAGGCAGGTCTTGAACCCGCGGGCTCAGGCAATCCACTCACCTCAGCTTCCCAAGGTGCGGGATTACAGGCTGAGCCACTGACCCCGGCCAACTTAGAGGTTTTTTGTTGTTTTCTGTTTCTCTCTTGGTTTCTGTGGTCACAAGCAGATTTGTGGAAGTCAGTTTGGGCTGCTATAACACAATACTGTAGACCGGGTGGCTTAAACAACAGAAAAAATTTTCCCCCAGTTCCAGAGGTTGGGAAGGCCCAATCAAGGCAGGCAGGTCTGGGGTCTGGGCAGGGCATCCTTCCTGGCTTACAGATGGCACATTCTTACTGTATTTGCCCATGGCAGACAGCAGAGAGAAGGAGTAAGCTCTCTCCTGCCTCTTCCTATAGGGCACGACTCCCACTGTGAGGCCTCCATCCTCATGACCTCACTGCCTCCCACAAGTCCCACCTGCAAATGCCAGCACCCTGAGTTTTTAGGCTTGCTTCGCCGTGTGAATTAGGGAGTGGGGGATGGGACACACACATTCAGTTCATAGCATGATTTTATCTCAATTTGCTGATGCCTCTCTATTTTTCCTGTTAGAAATTGGATAATATTGCTTTAAAAAATATTTAGCCAGGCACAGTGGTAGTTTTTATCTATTCAGCATGCCTGTAGTTTTATCTATTCAGGAGATTGAGGCAACCAAGAGGATCACTTGAGCCCAGGAGTTTGAATCCAACCTGGGCAAAATAGCAAGACCCCATCTCGTGTGTGTGTGTGTGTGTGTGTGTGTGTGTGTGTGTGTGTGTGGTGTGTGTCTGGTGTGAGACAGAGAGAAAGAGGGAGAGAGAAATGGATATATCACTAGTACCCCCCAGAACCTCTTCAAAGGATATTTTCCTCTTTCTAACAGCTGTACTACCTCTGTTATGTCAGAATATGCCTTGTTTATGTGGATTTATCTCAAGTCATGGCACTGGTAGTCATGTTCCTTATAACTCATGTAAGCAATCAGAACACACACTGATCTTCTGCCTCTCTTTCTTCCATACACTTTGCAGCCACCTGTTTCCTTGTCTATTCCTTGTTCTTGGACAAGAGTCTCTGTTGTGTTACATAAGAATTTGTGCCAGGGTATCTTTTTATTGTGCTCTTTGAGAGCAGTGATCAGTATCTTTGCGTTTTCTTTTGAAAAAGAATGTTTACTCTCAATTGTTTAAAAATGACTTTATAATGTAATAGGAAAGAAGATTGCAAATCCTAATTTTGGGAGTGTTTTCTACTGGGGGAAGTTTGGCATCTGTGGTGAAGATCATTCCATTTTCATCTGAATTAAATTAGCCATATAAGTTTAATGAATTTTCAGGGCACAGTATGACACCACAGGCCATTGTAAGGTGAGTCTCTGAGTTGGGGGAGAAGGAACAGCATCCTCTGGGCCAGGTGTGACAGGAAGTGACATCGGGAAGGGTTCAGCTGTAAAAACTTTATGGACATGGCAAGCTGTGGTTGGGTAAGAACAAGATCTGCCCGCGGGTTCGAGACCCACCTGGGCAACTTGGTGAGACCTCATCTCTACAATAAATGAAAAAATGAGCCGGGCATGGTAGCACGTGCCTGTAGTTCCAGCTACTTGGAAAGCTGAGGCGGAAGGATCGCCGGAGCCCAGCAGGTCAAGGCTGTGGTGGCCGGGAGCGGCCACTGCACACCAGTCTGGGCGACAGAGTGAGACTCCAACTCAAAAAAAAAAAAAAGAACAAGATCTGCACATGAACTTGAGGGTACTGTTTCTGGGTCACGTGCTCATGGGGCGTCCCCATCAGGCAGAGGCCAGGGCTGGCGTCCTCTTCTTGGAGTCTGGAATAGTGGGGACAGCTCCCTCTTGTCTCTCTCCTTAGGAGCCTGTGCTCTGGGAACAACCCGTAAGTCCAGCCCAGAGCACAGGACATAACCCAGATACCCACGACACCCTCTCCATGGGGACCATAGAGCACCTGTCAGGAAGGAGGAAGCCAAGTAGGTGATTTTTCTCTCCCCTTAATCTCCTCTCTTTCCTCCCATCTACTCCTTCATTCTCCTCCTCCTTTCAAGACTGGTGTCTACCCAAATCTACCTCACTGGGCTGCGCCAAAACAACAAACTCGCCCCCGACCATCATTCACCGAAGAATGAAAATCATGGAAGACAGGAAATCAGAGACAGCATCGAATTCTGCCCATGTTATAGATGACATGACTGAGGCCTAGATAGGAAGGAGACTTGCTCAAGTCTGCTATGAGTGTATCAGCTAGGATAGGCTAGGTTATGCTGCAGTAACAACTCCAAAGTCCCAATGCCTCATGACAACAAAATCTTATTTCCTGCTCTTGCTTCTTGTCTGTTGTAAATTGACAAGGAGCTCTGCCCTACATCATTCTGTCTCCCGAACCCCTGCGAAAGGAGCAGCCACGATCAGCGGTATTTCAGGACCCTGCAGCGGAGGAAAAGAGAAAATGTGGTGAATCGCACATCGGCTCTTAAAATGTCTGCCCAGACGTGGCATGGGCATTGTTTGCATATTTCACTGACCAAAGTAAATTTCATGACTATGCCCGATTCCAAGGAGGCAGGGAAGTGTAATCCCACTGAGGACCTAGAAAGAGGAGAAAGGGAGTGCAAACAGCCCAAGCACCTGCCACAGAGAATTAGTAGCAGAGCTGGGACAGCAACCCTAGTGTCCTGACCCTGGGGCCCAGAATCTTCTGATTGATGTCCTCTATCTCCAAGGCTATTTCCCACAGAAGTCTCAGTGACTGATGATGTCATGTGCTTTTTTTCCCCAGGGATGATTATCCTTGAAGAGCTTCATGTCTTATCGTGGAATACTAATGACAGAAACAAGGGCATTCTGTGAGAATGGAGAAGTTTGAGGGTTGAGGAGTGTTCCCAGGAATCACACCCTCCAGGCACCACATCCACCTGGCACCATGCTGCCCTGGAAGCTATCTTTATGGGCAGTATGGACTTTGGACACTATAGCCTAGAAAAGAGGTTATGCCCTAGGCTGTGGCTATGTCCATTGCCAAGATCACAGAGTCAGGCGCTTAGCCTTGCCTGAACCATCTAGGCCTCCGCAGCCTGGGACATTTCCGGGCCTGGGAGGCAAGAAATCTCAGTTCTGATGCTGGCTCTGCCATGAACTTGCTGTATGACCCTGGACACATCCCTTACCCTTCCTAGGCCTGAGTTTTTCCCTCTGTTCGGGAGGGATGGTGATCCCTGACTGAGGACCGTGGATGCGAGCGTGTTTCCTGAATTCTAAGGCTCTGTGGTGAGGTGAGGACTTATTTCCATTAGTCCAATTGAGGACGGATGAACAGTGGGGCTGAGGACACATCCAAGGAGGCTTCTGCTGGGTGCCCAGGAAGCAGCTGGGGTCTAAACCCCAGGACACATAGTACTGGCCTCCGCCTCTTGAAGTTGGTAAGGCTGGCTCCTGAGCGGGTGTCCCACTCTTTCCAGAGTTAGAGGTGGAGCCTCTGGAGTTGTGAGGCTTAGATAAGATATACAAAGCACTTAGAACAGTGCCTAACACACAGTGAAGGCTTTGCAAGTGTTTACTACTATTATTAGGGAAATAGTATATTTCCTACAACGTTTAGAAATGTTATAGCATATTCCACTGCATGATGGAACACCATTTAGTAGATCCGTCCTCAGTTATTGGACATTTAGGTTGCTTCCAGTTTTTAATGATTATAAATAATCTTGCAGTGAGTGTCTTTGTAATTAAATTTACATTCATGATTGCTTCCTAAGTTTAGAGGACGAGAAATGGAATCACTGGATCAAATGGGCTGCACATTATTTAGGCTTTTGCTATGTGAATGCCCATCACCCTCAATTGGGTCTCTAACCACCAGGTTGTTGAAGAGTTCCAGCTTAGAAAAGAAGGTTTTGGTTAGAGAGAGAGGAGATAGTTTGTATCAGCTAAGATTAGTATACACTGTGAGTAACAGAAAGCCCTAAACAACAGTGGTTTAAGCAGAGGTGCATTTTCCTGTCATGAAACAGAAATCCAAAGTCAGAGGGCATAGGGCAGATGGGCAGATTTACCCTACACCTTTCTCAGTACTGCTTCCACCTCATGATTCAACATGGCTTCCTAAGATCCAGCCATCCCACCGACATTCCAGCCAACAGGAAGAAGCAAAGATGAATAGACAGCACTTCCACTTCTATCCCATTGGCCAGAACTTAATTACGTGGCTACATATAACTGCAAGGAAACCTGGGAAGTATACAGATGCCCAGGGAATGTTCAGGAATCCTAGTACTAAGGAAGAAGGGAAGAACAGATTTGGGGGGACAACCAGGAGTCTCTGCCATGAGATTAGCTGAGAGCAGCACAGATGGTCCATGGAAACAAGAATAAATTAAGCAACCTCAGGGGACCATCTCCAGGAGATGAACTTGACCATTCCAGAGAGCCAGGATACAGGCATAAGCGGAGGAAGAGGGGGATGCTGAGGAAGCAGACTAGTCTCAGGAACTGATCCCTGGGCATCGAGACTCCAACAAGAGGCCACTTATCTGCCTATTTCTGCTGCTTGGGAGTGGGGAATGGTTCTTGACTACTTGACTTTCCCCCCGACCCGCCTGCCTCCAGTTCACCTGACCCCAACTCACCTGACCCCAGCTCATCTGAACCCAGCTCACCTGTTTCCCAATTCGCCTGACCCCAGCTCCCTTGACCCCAGCTGACCTGTATCCAGCTGACCTATCCCCAAACTCACCTGTCCCCAGTTCATCTGACCCTAGTTCACCTGTCTCCCAACTCACCTGACCCCAGCTCAGCCGACCCCAACTCACCTGACCCCAGCTCACTTGTCCCCCAACTCACCTGACCCTAGCTGACCTGTCCCCAGTTGACCTGACCCCAGCTCACCTGTTCCCCAGTTCACCTGGCCCCAGCTTACCTGGCCCCAGCTCGCCCATTCCCCAACTCACCTGACTCCAGTTCAGCCGACCCCAGCTCACCTGGCTCCAGTCTATCTGCACCCATTTACCTGTCTCCCAACTCACTTGACACCAGCTCACTTGTCCCCCAACTCACCTGACTCTAGCTGACCTGTTCCCTAATTCACCTGACTCCAGCTCACCTGACTCCAGTTCACCTGGCTTCCAACTCAACTGACCCCAGTCTACCTGCACCCAGTTATCTGTCCCCCAACTCACCTGACCCTAGCTGACCTGTCCCCAGTTGACCTGACCCCAGCTCACCTGTTCCCCAATTCACCTGACTCCAGCTCACCTGACCCTAGCTCACCTGTCCCCCAACTCACCTGATCCCAGTCTACCTGCACCCATTTATCTGTCCCCCAACTCACCTGACCCTAGCTGACCTGTCCCCAGTTGACCTGGCGCCAGCTCACCCGTTCCCCAATTCACCTGACTCCAGCTCACCTGACCCTAGCTCAACTGACCCCGGCTTACCTGCCTCCCTGTCCCTGCAGGGCCGGCTCCTCATGGACCCCGTTAGCCTCCAGTTGGGCACCAGGAACCTGTGGAGCTGGCTTGTGAGGCTGCTCAGCAAAGACCCAGAATGGCTGGATGCCAAGATGAAGTCCTTCCTTCCCAACGTGGATCAGGGCTCCAGGCACGAGGCCTCAGACCCCGAGCAGAGGGTCATCGAACAACTCAGCACGCTGCAAGCCCAAGGTCAGGCCACGTGGGAGTCGTTCATCCACTGCGTGTGCATGGAGCTGGAGGTGCCCCTGGACCTGGAGGTGCCACTGCTGAGTACCTGGGGTTGTGAAGACGGTGAGGGCAGAACGGGAGATGCAGAACAGCCAGCGGGACCCCCACGTCACGGGAAGCCCAGGGAGGCCCTGGGACCCACCTGAGTCACACAGAGAGGGCGTGTCAAGCCAGGAACAAAACTCCATGCTTCTAGGCCCTTCCCAGAGCAAATTCCTGCATGCCACCAAGTCCTCTGGGGCCTGGAGGACGCCCTCCTTCCACCTGGCTTCACCCCAGTTGCTCAGGGAGGCCGGGCACAAGGAGAGGAAGGCCCAAGTGGCTCCTTCCAAACTACCTGTGATGGCCAAGAGGTTTCTTGTTGCAGCCTGTTCAAAAGCAATTACAGGGAGAGTTCTGGCTTCATGGTAGGCATGTGGGTTTAACTCTGTTCGTGTCCACGGGCATTTCTTGGGCACCTTCTGTTTGTACAGAACTGAGGAGAAACAGGACACTGAGGGACAACGGCATCCTTGCAGAGAAAGTGAGAACTACTCAAGAACTCTTCCACAGGCAGAATGTGGGAAACACAGGGGACACATACATGGGCACATATATGTATATACACGCAGTGCACGCATGCGCATTAACCCATATACATATGCATACCCATGTGTGCACACACAAATATGCACACACATGCATAGACACACACATTTCTGCCCACTGCTGCCTCCAGGGCTCACCCCCGGCTTTTCTCCCAACAGATAACTGAGTACTAACATGATGTCTTCTTTCCTGGGTACCCACTCTGTGGGCTGAGCCCTGAACCAGACACCAGGCCAGCGCTGATCCCCGGCATCCCACTACATCCTCATGGAACCTTCTACTCTCCCCTCTCTTGCAGGGTTCTCCAGCCAGCTTGCAGCCAGTGAGGAAAGCTGCCCTGAATCTCAGCTCCACCACAGTAAGAACTGGGATTGGGGAACAGAAAGGAGCAGTGAGCACTGCCAAGTACCTGCCTCCAACCTGGAGGAGGCTGATGCTGACCGGTCACAGGAATTTCCCATCATCCCTCTCATCTGTCCCATGTGTCACAGTGTCTCCCAGCCCCACCTCCTCCCTCTCTGTGACTTTCCTGTCCTGTGACCAGTTCCCAGGCGTCTCACCTGGAGACCCTGGGGAAGCCTGTCCTTATTTTCTTGTCCCCAAGCTTCGGGGCCTTGTCTCCCAGCCCCACAGAGTCAGGCTTCACGAGGAAGCCCTAACCGCCCTCCCCCTCTGCACCCCTCAGACTTGACACCCACCCACAATGGCTGTCTGCACCCAGGGAGCCTCAGGCTGATTTTCTGATGGAGCTCTGAGGAGTCAGTGATCACGTGGTGACACTCTTTGATTCATGGGTCACAGTCCGACTTTGGAGCCTTTATTTATATAGAAGAGTCAACTTTTTAATTATTGCTGTGCATGGCAATAATGTTAACAGAAGTCACCTACCCTGTAATCCTCACTTCCCAACACATCAACAGCATTTGTCCAAGTCCCTGGTGCATGCATGCCTTTGTCACTGAGCTGACATCATTGTCTCATGGCTGTGATCAGGTCTGATTGACACTTGGCCAGCAAGTCCCTTGTTAACATTGGACTTGTTGAAATATTGTAGTACTCTCAAGCTGGTTCCAGCTCCTCCTTGGGAATACCCGGACCTTCCTGCGATCCAGCAACTAAAAAGTTAACACCTGGCAGGGCAAGGGGCCCTGGGCCCTGTGCCCCGTGGCTGTTCTGATTGGTCACTAGTGCCTGTAGGTAGAAGAATCCACTTCTTATGCTTCCTGGCTTTGGTCCCCCTTCCCTACCTTGGGAAAGTAAATCTTCACTCTTCCTTCTCTTTCTCTCTCTAATTTACTTTTAAATAAACTTTTCTTAACCTTAAAAAAAAAAATTCTTTCCTGAGCCAGGTTTGATGGCTCAGCCTTTAATCCCAGCGCTTTGGGAGGCTGAGGTGAGTGGATTGCCTGAGCCCGCAGGTTTGAGACCCGCCTGGGCATCTTGGCAAGACCTCATCTCTACAATAAGTCAAAAATTAGCTGGTCATGGTAGCGTGTGCCTGTAGTTCCAGCTACTTGGAAGGCTGAGGCAGAAGGATCGCCGGAGCTCAGCAGGTCGAGGCTGCGGTGGCTGGGAGTGGCCACTGCACTCCAGTCTGGGCGACAGAGTGAGACTCCAACTCAAAAAAAAAAATTCTTTCCTGAGTCCTCTTTCCTTTCTTCCTCCCCTTCCTTCTAGTTTTTCATCTTCCTTTCCCAAACTCTTCCAGAAAGGCATTAAAGTGACTCTTGAAAATCTATGCCATAAGACGAGACTTAGGAACCATTAAGGAAAGTGAGGAAATGTGAATGATAAGAAATGAGGGTGATAGAACACACACAGGAGGGAAGCTGCAGACCTGGCCAAGCCCCCTGGAGGTTTCACCTTAATGACCAGTGGTGGCCTCCACAGAGCTTGGTCCTTCCCTGGTGGAGAAATGGCCACTTAGAGTTTGGAACTGAGTGTTTCTGGGGCTGCTGGCTGTGAGCCCCACTCCCTGCATCCTGGGCTGCACGACCCCAGGCCCAGACCCTCCAGCCCACCAACCTAGAAGCCCCCTGAGCAAAAAGAAACCAGTGTTGATGGAGCCTCTACTTGCTGCCTGCCTTCTCAGTCCCTGTGTGTGGGTGCACTTGGCTTCCAGCCACCTGCTGGTGGAATGGAGCTTCCCAAAGGTCCTGGGTGCCCCCTCAGCTCAGGCTGCCAGAACACACCCTTCCACCCCTTTCTTGGCTCTTTCAGGCCTCAAGCGCCCTCATCAGAGCTGTGGGTCCTCACCCCACCGGAAGCAGTGCAGGAAGCAGCAGCTAGGTGGGTACCAAGGTGGGGAAGGACCTCAACATAGGGCCAGAGGTGCCTTGGACAAGGACCCAGACCCCGGGCCCTGTCCCTTGCCCCCTGTCCACAAGCTTCCAGGGTCCCGGTGACTCTTGTCTTCCAAGCTTCCAGGAGAGAAGGACTGGAGGGCCCAGGCAGGTAGAGGAGAGGGCTGGGCTGGCAGGGAAGGGCCTCCCCCATCAGGCTGCAGGGGGGCTTCTCCAAAGATGGTGCCACTGAGGGTCTCAGCCTTATCATCTGAGCTCTTCCAGGGACACCCTATATCCTGGGCTTAGGGATCCCCAGGAAGATGACCAGCTTGGGGTGAGCAGGGATGGGGGCCCTCGGGGAGACATGGGGCTGCTGAGGGTTGGCCAGGCCAGGGGGAGGAGAGGGAGCTTCTCCCATTCTTGACCAGTCATCCAGAACGGTCCTGGCTCTCCACCAGTTGTCCCTCTAACTGGAACCCTCCCCACCCCCACTGCTGCCAACCATGGGCATCACCAGAGGATTCACATCTATACAAGATGGGCCAGGACCCCGGGGCCCCCCGGCTCCCTCCACAGGGGCCCCAGTCCTTCCCCTGGGCCACATGAGACCTCTCGGTGATCCAGGAAGGAAAAGGTTAACACCTGGCATGGTAGGGGTCCAGTTCCCACAGTTCTGATTGGTCAGCGCCTAGACCCCAGAGGTTGTTAGCGCTCACCCCAGGGCACTGCAGAACTGAAATATCGGGGAGCAGCATGAAAGACTCAGCTATCACAGGAAGAGGTTGTTGCAGTAAGATGTAAAGGAGCATCCCTTCCCCGCCCCCAACTTACTGCAAACCTTACACCACCTACACTGTTGCAGAACTGACTGTGACCCACACTTCCCCATTCTTATCCCCTGTTCAAATGGCTGCCAGTGCCTGTGCTTCTGCAGACCTGACTCCTTCTTGGAGCTTGGGTGGCACAGAATCCCCTATTGTGTTCTTGGCACCCCCATCCCCACCCCCCAATATGCACACAGCTGGGGCCAAGGGCTCCCAACGGCCCAATTCTGGGGTATGGGGACATGGGCAGAGGGCCAAGGGCTCCAGCCCTCATACCATGTCCCTGCCCCCTGCAGACTTGGCCAAGAAGTACCTGCAACTCCTGAGGACCTCGGCCCAGCAGCACTATGACAGCAGGCTCTCTGGGTCAGGCCAGCCCCTCGCCTTCCACCAGACCTATGTCCCCCCGATCCTGCAGGGGAGCTGGACCACGGCACCCTTAGACACACAGGAGGGGGCTACTACAGGGGATCCTGAGGCACAAGATGGCACTGACGTGAGCATCTGGGATCTCTTCAACACCAGGGCCAACAAGGCCCCGAGGCTGACAGTGCTCTTGGGGAAGGCTGGCATGGGTAAGACCACGCTGGTCCACCGGCTCCGCCAGAAGTGGGCTGAGGGCCAGCTGGATGGTTTCCAGGCCCTGTTTCTTTTTGAATTCCGCCAACTCAACCTGGTCACAAGTTTCCTAACGCTGCCCCAGCTCCTTTTTGATGTGTACCTGAGCCCTGAGTCGGACTCCGATGCTATCTTTCAGTACCTAGAGGAGAATGCTGATCAAGTCCTGTTGATCTTCGATGGGCTGGACGAGGCTGTCCACCATTACCCCAGCAGAGAGACCAGGGGTCCCGATGACCCAGGCCCAGCTCTCTCTCTCTTCTCCGGTCTCTGCCGTGGGGTGCTCCTGCCTGGCTGCTGGGTGATGGCCACCTCCCGTCCTGGGAAGCTGCCTGCCTGCCTGCCCACCGAGGCTGCCATGGTCCACATGTGGGGCTTCGACGGGCCACGGGTGGAGGAGTATGCGAGCCGCTTCTTCAGCGCCGGACCTTCGCGGGAGGAGGCCCTGGCAGAGTTGCGGACAAGTGGACGTCTCCAGAGCCTGTGCGCTGTACCTGCCCTGTGTCAAGTCGCCTGCCTCTGCCTCTACCGTCTGCTCCCTGGCAAGGCCTCAGGCCAGTCTGCAACCTTCCTGCCTACTATGACTCAGCTGTACATGCAGATGGTGCTCACACTCACCCCTTGCAAGTGCCTGCCCGCCACAACCCTGCTGGGTCTGGGTGAGCTGGCCCTGAGGGGCCTGGAAACCGGGAAAGTTATCTTCTATGAAAAAGACATCCCCCAATCCACGATGGCCTTCGGGGCTGCCCACAGCCTGTTGACCTCCTTCTGTGTCCACACGGGGTCTGGGCACCAGCAGACAGGCTATGCTTTCACCCACCTCAGTCTGCAGGAGTTTTTTGCTGCCCTGCACTTAATGGCCAGTCCCAAGGTGGACAAAGACACACTCGCCCGCCACATCACCCTTAATTCCCGCTGGGTGCTGCGGACCAAGACCAGACCGGGCCTCTCAGACTGCCTCCGCACTTTTCTGGCAGGCCTGGCATCCTGCGCCTGCCGCCCCTTCCTCAGCCAGCTGGCGTGGCATGATGAGGCCTGGGTGGGCACCAAGCAGGCTACTGTTATGCAGGTGCTAAAGAAGTTGGCCACCCGCAAGCTCACAGGACCAAAAGTCATAGAGCTGTGTCACTGTGTGGATGAGACACAGGAGACTGAGCTGGCCAGTCTCACAGCCCAAAGTCTCCCCTATCATCTGTCCTTTCATAATTTCCCACTGACCTGTGCCGACCTGGCCACCCTGACCAGCATCCTAGAGCACAGGGAAGCTCCCATCCACCTGGATTTTGAGGGCTGCCCCCTGGAGCCCCACTGCCCTGAGGCTCTGATTGGCTGTGGGCAGGTGGAGAATCTTAGGTGAGTAAGGGCAGAGGAGGACTGGAGAGGGAACTGGACTTTTGGGAGAGTGGAGGCCAATGGAGCAGACCCTTGCTGAGGAGAGTGGATAAGATCCTTGAATATCAGAACAGAATGGCCCTGACTGCCCTGAGCCTACGATACCGGTGGGAAATCTCTGCCTTGACAGAAACCCTGAAGTCCAGTTGGGTCCTCCTCCTGGCTGTGGTTTCTGGACTCTCAGTCTCTCTGTCAGTCATGGGCTGGAGCCCCTGCTCTGGGCTTTGCTGCTAGAGGCCATTTGACTTTGAGAAGGTTACACAACATCTCAGCCAGAGTCTCTTCATTCCTAAAATGAATCCATAATACACACCCAGCTCATAGTGCTATTGTGAGATAAGATGGGATAATGCATGAAAACACTTCTTACCACAATACCTGGCACACAGTAAAGACTCAATATGCATATGAGCTAGAGAAAAGGCTAGACTGCAATAACCTAAGTAAGGAAACCTCCCCAAATACAGTAGATTAAATGATATAGATTTTTCTGTCTCATGGAAGAGTCAAGGGTAAGTGATTCAGGTTGGTGGAATGACTCAGCTCCATGCAGTCATGCAGGGACCCAGGTCCCTTTCATTTTTGCTCCATTATCCTCTTGGAAGCCCATCTGCACAGTCAAAGCTGGATCTTGGGTGTGTTTGTGCTCTGGCTTGGGGATAGGGGAAGAGCATGGAGGAGACATGCCAATGTGTTAAAGCTCCGTCCTGGAACCAGGACATACCCCTTCCATTCACATTCAGTGGGAAGAGCATAATAGTCACGAGGACACACTGAACTGCAAAGGAAGCTGAGAGATGTCCTCTCTGGCATGATCCCAACTCTAGCTCTATTGCTGAAGATGAAGCGGAGAGTGGACTTTGGTAGACAGCAATCTCTAACTGCTAATATGTATTTGCTGCTACTCCTACTGTATTAAGCCCCATCTGTCAGAAGGTCCCACCCAGCACTGATCCTCTGCCTTTGCTTCTTTCCATGGCAGCTTTAAGAGCAGAAAGTGCGGGGACGCCTTTGCGGAAGCCCTCTCCAGAAGCTTGCCGACCATGGGGAGGCTGCAGGTGCTGGGGTGAGCCAGGGTTTGGGACCCAGAAGAGTCTTCAGCTGGGATGATACTCTCCCTCCTCCACCGGCCCTACCCAGAGCATATTTCTGACCCTGCTTCCATTCCTCCCCACCATCTTTGCTTACCCTGTAGGTTAACAGGAAGTAAGATCACCGCCCGAGGCATCAGCCACCTGGTGAAAGCTCTGCCTCTCTGTCCACAGCTGGAAGAGGTCAGGTGAGTGATCTCCAGGAGGGCTCAGCAGCTGGGGAGAGGAGTCACTGCCCAGGTCCCAACCCTTCCAGCCTCCCACTTTAGGGCCTGGACTGGATGCTGCATATTCCACCAGAATCTGACCTGTCGTTTTTCACAAGATCCAGAGAGGGGAGGCATCCATCCTCTAAGAACTGGGTGGGGCTGAATCCAAGTGCAAGGCGACCAAAGACCCCCGCTGAAGGCTTCTGTCATCGATATTTTGGGCCACCTTGGAGGAGCATGTGTGTTGAGGCTTCCTCCCTTCTTTCTGTGACCTCGGGAGGAGGGGGGACAATGTGTTGACAAGAGCCAGGCACTGTGGGTGCACGTAAGTGTATAAGGCACACACACCCCTTCCCATCATGTACATATGCACACTTGCACAGATGTGCACACCCACCTCCTCAAGCATACGCCCCACACATGCCCATTCACATGCATACTTAGATGCTTGTATACATGTAGATGTAAGCATATACTACCTAAGCTCATGGGCACAAATCTGCTCCTGCCCCGTGTCTGGGACTAAGAGCTGTGGGGAGGGGCGGAGCCAGGGACCCTCCTCAACAGCTCACTGGCAGGACCACTGCTGGTTCATACCTTTATGAGATTTAGAAAAGGCACCTCTTCATCCAGGCAGACTAGGGTGCAGCACTTGTTTGTGGAGCATAAGTTGGATGACGGTCCCTACTGTCCCTTTGACTGGGTGTCTTTGTACAGTGATCACTCTGGTCAGGACAAAAGTCTAGAAATACTGAAGTTGTTGATGCTTTTCTTTCCTGATTATTGAAAGTGACTTTAGCCAGACGCGGTGCCTCACGCCCATAATCCCAGCACTTCGGGAGGCCAAGGTGAGAGGATTGTCTGGGCCCACAGGTTCAAAACCAGTCTGGGCAACTTGGCAGGACATCATCTCTACAATAAATGAAAAAATTAGCTGGGCATAGTGACATTTGCTACTTGGAAGGCTAAGGTGGAAGGATCACCTGAGCCCAGCAGGTTGAGGCTTCAGTGACTGAGAGTGTGCCACTGCACTCCAGCCTGGGCGACAGAGTGAGACTCCAACTCAAAAAAAAAGTGACTTTAATCTTTTCTTCTATCACCCACCATTGTTCCCAGTCACCCTTACTCCCCTCAACTCATCTGTTCCCCCCAGCTAGGAACCCAGGGAGGCTGGATTGTGACCCCACTTGACAGGTGGGGAAAGTGAGGTCAGAGAAGAATGCACTTGACCTAGGGCCTGGTAAGTCAGGGCCAGAACTGGGGATGCGGTGTCGCCAGCATCCCAGTCTAGACTTTGGTCTAGAGGCTCTGATGAACTGGGCCTCAGGCACATTCTAGATGTAAGCCCTAGGAGCAGGGTGCTAAGTCTCCTTATTCTACCTCATGGAGCCTTCAGTCTGTCATCTAGATCCCTTGGGCCACTGGGCAGAAGCTCCCCCATAGTGGCTGAACAGGGACAGAAGTGAGGCCAGCAGAAGGTCTCTCCTACCTGCTGGATGTGCCTGCTGGATGACAGGGAGCAGGTCATCAACTCTTTCTAGGCCCCTGTCTTATGTCTCCCACATGAGGGTGATCATTCTGTCACCTGCCAATTGGGGCTTCCAAGTGCTCCAGCCTCAGGGTAGAGGGACTGGGCCTTGGTCTCCTTTCAGTTTTCAGGACAACCAGCTCAAGGACCAGGTTGTGCTGAGCATTGTAGAGGTACTCCCTCACCTGCCACGGCTCCAGAAGCTTGAGTAAGTGATCTTTCCACTTCCCCAGCAGCCCAGTCCCTCTCCATGCATTGAGTCTCTCCCTCCCTTGCAAAGCAAGGAAGGTCTGTGTCTCATGGGATGGGTGATTCACTCCTGACACTTTTGCAACAATCGTACAGCCTGAGTGGCAACAACATCTCCGTGTCAACTCTACTCTGCTTGGCAAAGGTGGCAGTCACATGCTCTACCATCAGGACTCTCCAGGTCAGGTGAGCAGAAGGAATGGGATACTGGCCTTCAGGGTCTTGAGAAAAGGGGAGGGGGAAATGGGTCATGGGAAAAGGGGAGGGAGACATGGGGGTTGGGGAAATGAGGAGGCCCCTAATCTGAAAGATATATCTATATGTGCATGCCCATCTCTGTTTCACTCATGACTGTATCTTCAGAACCTAGCTCAGGCCTGGAACCTGGTATTCAACAAAGTGTGAATGAATGGATGGATGAAAAGACAGATGGATGGAAGGATGGATGGATGGATGGATGGATGGTTGGATAAATAGAGATAGATGGGAGGATGAATGGTTGGATAGTAGGATGGATGGATGGATGGATGGATGGATGGATGGATGGAGGAATTAATCAACAAGTCTACCAATGGATAGATAGATGGATGGATGGATGGATGGATGGATAGATGGACAGAGGAATGAAACAAAAAATCTACCAAGCATAGGCATAGCCAAAGAAATAAATAGCCGTGTGTTGCTCTCCGTGGTGCTGAACGAGCATTGCCAGTTTGGATCATGGGGTAGGTTAGTTGCCATGCTTCTTAATCCTGAAACACTCGCAACCTCTATTTTTAAAAGCAAACAAACAAACAAACAAAAACCCAACCTCTTGGCATTTTAAATATATTTCTTGTAAAAAAAAATATTTTCCTGACTTTTTAAAACATTCTTGCTGAATTCTTCAAGCAATGCCACAGTCAGGTATTTATATACCTGGTTTGGAGCACTTTTGCTAGTTCTCCTATGTTTCTCTGTCAGTTACAAAATCAGCTTTCTTTGGGTGTTTGGATGTTGGGGGCAGGAAGGGGTTGCAGGTGGGGGTTATGTGCTGGTTTCCAGCCACAGGTTTCAAGGCTTGGTATCTGATCCTACAGGGAGGAGGACCTTATCTTCCTTCTTTCTCCACCCACAAAGACAGCTGCAGAGCTACAAAGGTAAGAAGTCAGGGGACTATGGGTCTAGGTCCAGCCTGAGAAGTGACCCGGCTCAGGCAGTTGAGGAGAATGGTGGCCAGGAGAGCCCGAAGAAAGCTGGAATGTGGGGTTCTTCCTACCTGCTCTTGTCACACTGAGGACAGGATCAGCAAAGGATCTTAATATTCTCTGGCATGTCTGGACCATACCTGGACCCTGTGAGAGGGAGCATCCCCAGAAGTCTCAGAGCAAGCCTGACCCTTGGGAAGACATAAAGATCCTGTTAGACTGGCATTGCTATATGGTGAAAACTCTGGGAAAACTCACACAACTGAAGAAAAAGGGGATGAGTTATTAGGGTACCTACATCTTAGAGTTGCTCTGAGGATTAAATGACTAATGCATTTAAGGTGCTTAGGTCACCACTGGCATGCAGTTGGCACTCAAATGCTGGCTGTTCCAGCTGTGTATGGATTCCAACCTGGCCAGTCTCAGATGGGTGAAGGAAGCAAAGCTGCTTTCCCTGAAAGAACATCCCAGCTGTGCTCTCCCAGCTTCTCCCTGACTGATACTCAGACAGATGTGTGTCCTTGAGCATCCTCTTTCTCTGCTCTAGGCCTCAATGTCCTCACCCGTATAATACCCAATAAGACCAATGTCACTTTTCCCTCCAACTGCCTAGAGCTGTGATGGCCAATATGGTAGCCACTAGCCCCATGTGGCTATTTAAATTTAAATTAATTAGAATTAAGCAAAATGACATTTTCAGTTCATGAGTCACATTAGCCATACTTCAAGTGCTCGATGGCAATCAGTGACCAGTGGCTTATGTCGTGGGCAGCACAGATGCCCAGACATTTCCATTACAGCAGAAGGTTCTGTTAGGCAGTACCAACCTAGGAGTCTGTGAAACCTGGCTTATCATGCCCTAGCTTCCCTGTAGTCCCTTGCCCTCTCCTGGCCCAGTGGGAGAAAGTCCGGTGACTTCCCAGAGAGCATGAGCTGTACATATCTACAAATGGAGACTTTCACATCCTAGATAATAGCAGCTTCTGTTTAGTGAGCTTCAACGTTGTGCCCAGCTGGGCACTTGAACATACATTGTTCCATTCAGTCTTTCAGGTACTCTGTATGTTAGATGTTGTCATCTTATTTTATTTTATTTTATTTTTTTGAGTCAGAGTCTCACTCTGTCACCCAGGCTGGAGTTCAGTGGCACGCTGCTCACAGCCGCCACAGCCTCAACCTGCTGGGCTCAGGCGATCCTTCCACCTCAGCCTTCCAAGTAGCTGGAACTATAGATGTGTGCTACCACACCCCGCTAATTTTTTTTTAATTGTAGAGATGAGGTCTCGCCAAGTTGCCCAGGCTGGTCTCGAACCCCTGAGCTCAGGCAATCCTTTCACCTCAGCCTCCCAAAGTGCTGGGATTACAGGCTTGAATCACCATGCCTGCTTTGTCATCCAATTTTTGGAGAGAAAGAAGAGGGCTTAGCTGGGTGACGTGACTTGGCCAAGGCCACAGGGCTACACATGGCAGAGCCAGAATTTGAATAAAGGTTTCTCAAAACTTTTGCTCCTGCTGCTCTGCCTTGAGCACCACCGAGCGATTCACTTGTTACTGATTCACTGTGGGTTGTGCTGCAGGATCTTCAGCCCCCAGAAGCCAAGGAAAGAGGATTGGTCCATTAGGCTGTGGACTCTTGAGCCTGGGCCAATGTTTGATTTGTTCTTTCCAGAGCTCCAGACCTACAGGAGGGTGACAGCCAGAGGAAAGAGGCTCAGAGGAGGAGCCTGACACTCAGGTACCTCAGGAGGAGCTACTTCCTTAAGGAAGGGGATAGATGTGAAGGGAAGTCCCAGGGGAGGGACAGCGGGAGAAAGGAGGATAAAGGGAAGAACAGAGACAGAGAAAGGATATGAAGCCATTCTGGCTTGAATAAGAAGCCCCTGTCATAACCACAATGCCTACAATTTTTTTGTTTGTTTGTTTTTGAGTCAGAGTCTCACTGTCATCCTGGCTGGAGTGCAGTGGCACGCTCCTGGCCACCACAGCCTCGACCTGCTGGGCTCAGGCGATCCTTCTAGTAGCTGAAACTACAGGCATGCACCACCATGCCTAGCTAATTTTTTGATTTATTGTGGAAATGAGGTTTCAGCATTTTGCCCAGGCTGGTCTCGAACCCATGGGCTCAAGCAATCCTCTTGCCTCCGCCTCCCAAAGTGCTGGGATTATAGGCATGAGCCACTGCACCCACCACAATTTAATGGACCTTTGCTATATATGTGCTGGGCACTGTGATAAATATTTATATCCATTACGTCATTGTAATCTTCTAGAATCTCTGTGAAGTACACATTATTATTCCATTTGATAGAGGAGGAAACTGAGTCTCAGACAGAAGGGTGAAATGCCTTACCCAAAATAGCCAACTACTGAGAGGTGCGGCCAGAATTAGACCCCAGGTCTGTCAGCCTCTAACCCAATGCTTGAAGCTGGAGGGGGCATGGTATAGGCTTTTGCCCTTAGGCTCTCTGTCCCCCACCCTCTCTAGGCTCCAGAAGTGTCAGCTCCGGGTCAGTGATGCAAAGGCCCTCATAGCCATGCTTCAGGAGGGTCCCCTCCTGGAGGAAGTGGAGTGAGTATCTCAGGAGCCAGAAAGGGAAGCTGAGGCAGAGTGGGAGGGGTCTTGACTCTGGGTGGGGCTGGGTGGGGTCACATTGCTTCATGAAGGATTTGGAGGAATCAAATAACCATCACACCCACTATCTAGCCCCCATCCTGTTGAAGACTGGGCTAGGGGCTTTTACATACATTCTCTGGCTTAATACTCATGTCTGTGATTTAAGTTCTGTTGCTATTCACAATTTATGGAGGAGGAAATTGAGCTGCAGAAAGGTAAATATGTTCAAGATCACACAGGTAGGCAGAGTGCAGGCCAGGGTTCAAACCCAGACAGTGTGACGCCACTACCATCTCTCACTGAGATCTGCAAAGGAGAACCCCCATCACGCCAGGAGCTATTTTCCAAGCCACGGCCCCTCAGATGGGGGTGATCTGGCCTGGGGAGGTGGCTGGAAAGAGGGTAGGGGAAAGAGGATGGTTTGGAAGCTGCCCAGGATGGCAGCTGCTCCCTGTCTTTCTCCCAGAGCAGAGTGGGAGAACCGTCTCTTCTTGGGATGGAGAAATCCCCATGGTGCCAAGCCCAGCCTTCCTAGTTCTTCTGTTGGGAGACATTTGACCAAGCTCACATCCAGTTCTGAGCCTGCACCTCCCCCAGTGCTGTCATCTGCAGTGAGGACCTCATCAACCACCTCGTTACACTAACCAGACACCTCACAGCTCCTATGCCCTCGTCCTGCAGTCAGCCCATCCTGGGCAGCTCCCAAACCATCCTCTTTCCCCCTCCCTCTTTCCAGCCACCTCCCCAGGCCAGATCACCCTCATCTCTCACCTGGATAACCCAGCATCCTCCTTGCTGGTTTCCCTGCTTCCACCCTGGCCACCTCCCCCTGGCAGAGAGTGGTTTCACTGATACCTGCCCCCTTCATTCCTTCCACAGGAGAAAATTCAAACTCTAAAATCTGAGTGGTCCAGAACCCTGCCCCCAACTTTCTAAGCCCCATTTGACCTGCCCTCCCACTCAGCCTCCAATCCAGGCACACCCTTTCAGGTGCTCATACGAGTCATGCCACAGGGCCTTTGAATATGCTGTTCCTACTACCAGGAACGCCCTTCCCCCTCTCTCCCCTACCTTTTACCTATTGAACTTCTTCTATTTTTTTTTTTAAGCAAGTAGCTAGACACATCATAGAAGCCTTCCCTGACTCCCAGACTAGGTCAGATGCCTGCCCCTATGATGATGAAGTTTATCATAAGATGCAGTGATGTAGATTGCAGCATGAAGGAAGAGTTGAGGGTGAGACCTTGAGAATGGGCTGCCTGGGTTCAGATCCAGGCCCATCCTTGAGCAAGGGCCTTAACTACTCCGCATCCTGTTTATTCGTCATTAAGATGAGGATAATTACAGCACCCACTTCATGGGATCGCGAGGATGAAATATGCCGATGGTTGTAGGAGCACCTAGGATGTTACTGTGTAGTGTGCAGTCCGACCATTTGAGTTATTATTAAGGTGCCTTTATGGGAGCGATGCTTTGACTAAAGTCAGCGGCGGTTGAGGGGGGCACTCCAGCCCCTCAGGGCATTGGGCTCCTGTGTGTCAGTCTCTCAGGGAACCAGCTGGAAGACGAAGGCTGTCGGCTGATGGCAGAGGCTGCGTCCCAGCTGCACATCGCCAGGAAGCTGGAGTGAGTTGTCTACCCTACTGTTGGGTCCCAGGGAGGGCCCCAGACAGTCTCTGCCACCCCTGCTTCCTGTGCCCAAGTCAGGGGTAATAGTGCTGAGGCACATCACCCCTGCCTCCTCCAAACTCCAGCAAGTTGGGGTGATTCAATGCTTGCCTTTGCCTTGGGCACGAACCACTGTCTTAGTCCCAGTGACTTAATCCCCTCACACATGTAAACATGTTCATGGTGGCTTGCGTTCCATCAGCAGCTTGCAACAGCCTCTGACTGGGGTGGGGTGGAGTGTCCCACTGAGGTGGTATTGGATGGATGAGTACTGAAGTGTTGGATTGGGGTGTCTGGGTAGAAAGTGGTATGTTTGGGGGGCATAGTGTTGGGTAAAGGGGTGGGTTGGTGAGATGGAAAGGAAGAAAGGCACGAGGCTGTTGGATGTCCTGTGGAACCCTGTGGGGGGTGGGTTGGTGTTTGGGTGGAGGATATTAGAGTCAGGCTCAAGTGTGGTTGGAATAGGGCATGTTGAGGCTTGATAATGGTGGTTCATTTGGGACCTCGGTTTTGGATTTAAAGCCTAGTTCTGTCACTTAGTAGCTCTGTGGTCCTGGGAATGTAATCAAATGTCTCTGGGACTTGGCTTCCCACCGTGTAAAATGGAATTACATAAAACCGTATATGTTCGAAGGCCTTCATACAGAACCTGGTATAGTCAGTGCTCAGAAAATGGTGGCTATCTCGTAGATGAGGAGACTGAGGCTCGAAGAAGGGAAACACTGAGTTGATTCTTGCCACTCAAGCTGGAGAACTTCATTCTCTGAGCAGGGCAGTGGGCCATGCATCTCTTGGCTCAGCCACATGGGCCAGAATCCTTTGAGAGTCCCTGGTGAGGGACCCCAGAATCTAGGAGAGACAGCCAGCAAGCTGCTGAAGAGGCCTGCGGAACCAGCTGGGGCCTCTGACGGCTGCCTCCTCCTCCCTCCACAGCCTCAGCGACAACGGGCTCTCTGTGGCCGGGGTGCACTGTGTGCTGAGCGCCCTGAGCATGTATGGGCACCTGGCAGAGCTGCACATCAGGTGGGTGCTCCTCTGGACCACGGGTGCCCACTCCCACCCGAGTCCAGAGCACAGGGCTCCCCCATCACGCCCTTAAAGGTCTTGGGATTCTTTCTGGCTCCAGGCCTTGGGACTGGCAGAAGATGTTGTTGGTGCCCTGCCTAGACCTGTTAAAGCCGGTGCAGCTGTTCCCAGCTGCTCTGGTATGGGCTGCTCACAGCTTGCGCCTCCAGTGGAGAACTGCCCTTACTGATGAGAGCCAGGGTGCCTGAAAGGTTACTCCTCACCGCTTCCCCCACCCCAGAGTGGCCAATGACAGAGGCAGAGGGTAAATTCTCCACCCTCCTTGCCTCCTGTGGGATATCCTTTGTGGTGCCTGATGGCTCCAGAGTCCCCCATGGGATCCATCTGAGGATCTGCCTCTTTTGACTTCCCTCTATCCCATACCGGTTTCTCTGGGGAGCAGTCCCTCAATCCATGGTATGCATTGAATGATCGAGTGACATGTGACCCCTGCCCCACTCGCAGGCCCAGGTTTTGCCGCAGGGAACCCGACCTTATTCCTGTAAGTCTCTCTCTTCTCCATGGGGAGTGAGGACAGACACTAACACAGTTCCCACTCGGAGGGAAGCCTCACTCTTGTCTCTGAACAAGATGGACACTGCTCCAAACACCCCTGGGAAGGAGTGGGAACCAGGCTCACCTACGAGGTAGATGAGGGGACTTCGGTTCACTTTATATGGTAATTCAATAAAGGGTTCCTAGGTTGTTCCACATGACACACCATTCACATCTAGGAAATTCTGCTAAAGAAATCATCATACTTGCCAAACACATTTAGCTGCACAGATGTTTGCCACAGTATTGATTATAAAGGGGAAATATTGAAATGAACATTTATTTTTATTTTATTTTATTTTATTTTTTTAGTTGGAGTCTCACTCTGTCGCCCAGACTGGAGTGCAGTGGCATGCTCCCAGCCACTGCAGCCTTGACCCGCTGGGCTCCGGCAATCCTTCTACCTCAGCCTTCCAAGTAGCCAGAACTACAGGCGCGCGCTACCATGCCTGGCTATTTTTTTATTTATTGTAGAGATGAGGTCTTGCCAAGTTGCCCAGGCAGGTCTCGAACCCCCAGGCTCGGGCAGTCCACTCGCCTCGGCCTTCCAAAGTGCTGGGATTACAGGCGAGCCACCAAGCCCGGCCAAAATGAACATTTAACAGTAGGATGTGAGGTAAACTAAGTGACTTCCAGAGAGAACTCAATGGAACCATGAAAAAGTGATGTAGTTTTAATATGGAAGGATGACTGTGGTTTGTTACATAAACATAAAAATTTTAGTTCATCATCTTTATCATAAAGCTTTTTAAAATACTCGAAAGCAGAGAGAATGATATAATCTGTCTCTGTCAATTACTAGTAATTATTATTGTTAGCCTTGCTTCTTCTAGTCCTTAAAAAACTAATGTTAGAAAGAGAATCTATGATTTGATTCAATTTTTGTAAGAAAAAAATTATTGCACTAGAAAACAAAAGGTTTGAAGGGGACCCATTCTAAAAGGTGAACAGGAGCACTCATTTATCCTCTGAATACACTCCGGAACACCAACGAGCAGGGGATGGGGCTCCAACCCAGGGCCAAAAGACAGCACAGAACTTAGGTTTTCTTTCAAGGACTTGCCAGGAAATGAGGGCTGATTAGGCAATAGATACATTTGTGAAATCTCTGTGGTAGAAAGACTTTGGGCCTCTGAAAGCTCAGAGAAAGTCAGAGGCAAGTCAGGGGAAGTGTTTGTCCTGGAGGCTTTTGAATGACACCTGAAAGGTCCCTCCAGCCACAGTTAAAAAATGACATGGGGCCTGACACAGTGGCTCACACTGTAATCCCAACCTTCTGGGAGACTGAGGCAGGAGGATCACATGAGCCTGGGAGTTCAAGACCAGCCTGGGCAACATAGTGAGACCTCGTCTCTACAAAAAAATAAGACAGGCATGGTGGCGCATGCCTATAGTCCCAGCTATTCAGGAGGCTGAGGTGGAAGAATCATCTGAGCCCAGGAAGATGAGGTTGTGGTAGCTATGAGCATACCACTGCACTCCAATGTGGATGACAGAGTGAGATCCCGACTCAAAAAAAAAAAAAAAAATGACACGTAGCAGCAGGGACCTGATCACCTCTCACTTCCTCTCTCCTCTCTCTCCTCCACAGCCTGCTGCACAAAACTGTGGTCCTCATGTTTTCCCAGGAGCTGGAGGAGCAGGGGACGCCCCAGAAGAGGTAGGACCCCAACATCATCCCAGCTCCACTCTCGGTCAGGGTCGTCCCTTCCCTCCCCCATAGCTGGGCAGTGCCAGCAAACTGCCAGGGAGGCCTGGACAGGATGCAGTCCCAAAGGGGGAGGGTCAAAAGGCAGGCTGCCTTTACCCTTTACAGCGCCCGAGAGAGCAGAAGTGGGATTGCCAGAGAGTGATGCTGTTATGGGTCGGAGTAACACTCGGCTGCTCCCCTGGATACCCATAAATCAAAGAGGCAGGGAACTGGTAGAAAGAAGTTTATCTCTGAGTTCGAATCCAGGGAGCAGAGCCGAACTTGTGGTCTTTCTAAAATGGTTCTGCTCACCCTCCAGGTTTTTACCATTCACTTTGATAGTCCAGAGTTGTCGGTACCTATACACTAGCCATGTGACCTGAAGAGCATCGTATAGAACTTAAGTTTCAGCTGCATTTCACATGTAGATTGTGATATTTAGAGAAAAGAAAGTTTACAAGGCCTAAGACATCATGCATTGCAAAAGTTATGCAAATCACAAGACTTATGATTACATTGATACAATATAGTTCAATATATAAGCATAGAAGACAAGGGAACTCTCAGTAACATGCTCAGGAATGTGCAGGAGTGCTTGAATACCCTCCATGCCCTTCTCTAGGAGCTGTGGCAATATGAAGGGACATTAATGGATTTCTGTATCAATGCTGAGTGACAGAGATCCTTCAGCCTAAACCCAGAGGACTGCCTGACCTGTAGCTCTGATCTTGGTCCCTTTGGCATAAGGACCCTTTAGGGGTGTTTGTCTCCTCCTGGGTGCCTTCCTGGATTGCCCCAGTCTATGCATGTGGGCAGAGACTCAGCACTTTGCCTCTTTGCCTCTGAGTCCACCCACAATCTCTTCTGTAGGGTTTGAATTATTGAAGGGTCTGACATCTCTGAAGCACTAATGAGGAGGATGAGACTAATGGTAATAGCAGCCAAGGTTAATTGAGCACTTACTATGTAGGTATGCACCAAGCACCAAACTAGGCAGTCCATGTACATTCTCCCAGCAAGAGATTAAGTGATTTGCCCAGGGTCATACATCAGGGAGTGGAGAAGCCAACTTGGGAACGAGGTCTGACTCCAGACAGAGGACAGGGATGGCATGGTGGAAGGCAGGGCTGGGAACAGACTTCTGAGATAGTGGACAAGGCATGCGCTCAGCCTGGCCTTGGTGTGTGTTCCTCCAGGACTATGTTTCTTGACAGTCTCATGCCCCAGATGCCCTCTGAGCTGCCCCTGAGTTCTCGAAGGATCAGGTACAGTGATGGCCTTCAGAGCCCTCCCTTCCTCTGCTCAGATCCTGTCCCCAAAACTGTCCCCAGGCCCACAGGCTCCCTGGAGGACACCCGTGGTGTGCTGTGTCAGGGTTGTGGCCTGGTTTCCCTACCCCCCACCTCCTTGCCCGGCCCACCCCAGCAGTTGAGGGGCTGTGGGAACTCCAGATGGAGAGTTTGGGGACTCCTTCCCTCCTGGATCCTGGGGCAGAGGCCTGGGGGCTCAACTCAGCCCCCGCAGGGAGCCCAGCAGGACTCTTCGCTTTTCTGTGTCTGTCTGCATCTCCCTGTCTGTCTCCTTCTCTCACTCCTTGTCTCTCTCAGTTTCTCTTTCTCTACTGTCTTCCATCTTGTTATCTGTCCTCCTCCCTCCCTCCCTCTCTCTGACTCTCGCATACTTGCTGTCTCTCTTGCTCTTTCGCTCTCTCACTTTCTTTCACTCTCTTCCTCTCTCACTCTCTCTGGCTCTCCTGCTCTCTCTCTCTCATCTCTGGTCTCTCTGTCCTGGTTTCCCTCCCTCTCTGTGCCTCTGCCTCTCTCTGCCTGTGTGTGATGTCCTATGGTGTCGTGTGTGCCCGGTCCCTCCTCATCTGCTTCACTCTCTGCCTGAGTCTGGGGTGGGAGCGGCCCCCACCTCTGTTCAACAGGGCAGATGCAGCAGGGCTGTGGTTTTGCCCTCGTGCAGGCTGACACATTGCGGCTTCCAAGCCAAGCACCTACAGCAGCTCTGCAAGGCTCTGGAAGAAAGCTGTCACCCCGGTCACCTCAGTCCCTTCCACCTCGAGTGAGTGGCTTGCATGTTGGAAGGTGGGTGGCTGGGACAGAGCAGGGCTAGTTGGTGTAGGGGCGGTGTGGTGTTTTGTTTTCCTTTTTGAGATTTAGATCTGCCGTTCTTTTTCTGAAGTTGGAAACCACTTAGAGAATCTGGTGAACATTACGCCGCTTCCTCCCAAAATACAGGTCTCCCACTTTTGACACTCTCAGAAGCCACCCCTGGTTCCCTAGAGGTCCATGAACCTCAAGATAAGAATCTGGGGGATGGCTGGACACAGTGGCTCACGTCTGTAATCCCAGCTCTTGGGGAGGCCGAGGTGAGAAGATTGCTTGAGCTCAGGAGTTCAAGACCAGCCTGAGCAACATAGCAAGACCTCGTCTCTACAAAAAAATTAGCTGGGTGTGCTGGTGCGCATCTGCAGTCCCAGCTACGGGAGGTTGAAGTAGAAGGATCGCCTGAGCCCAGGAGCTCCAGGCTGCGGTGATCTATGATCCTGCCACTGCCCTCCAGCCTGGGCAACGAGTGAGATTCCCAACTGACCACTACCAACAGTCCCTGGGGGAGATGCCAGCCACCCATGTGAGGTCTGCTAAGACCTGGCCTGGCAGCTTCAGGCTGTGTCCCAGCTTCAGGAAGTTGAGGGTCAGGAGTGCAGAGACAATACTGCTGCCAACCCACACTCCCCTCCACTAACTTCCTCTCTCTTCCCCTCCCCCTCTAGCTTCTCACATAACGCTCTGGGTGATGAAGGTGCGGCCCTGTTGGTTCAACTGCTCCCAGGGCTGGGCACTCTGCAGTCTGTGAAGTGAGTACCCAATTGGGCAGAGCCTCTGAAGTTTGCCCTCTGCAGGATGGGGGTGGGGAGCACGGGGCGGGGGGCATCTCCCTCCTCCTGGGTTTCTGTAAAAATTAAATCAGAAGATGCCTGTTAGTCGCCCTGACACAGGGTAAGTGCTCAGTAAAGGCTAGCTAGTACTGTGATTCTTATTCAAATAGAGACCCACTGGCCTCTGTGACTCCTGGGACTTCTGACTCAAGGTTTCACTTTTCAAACCGTTCTGCACTGGGCTCCACACTGGGCTCCCTCGAGGTCCAGGCCTAACGGCTGGCAGCCACTCTGGCCTGGGGTGCAGGCAGGGTAGGCAGGGAGGGTTTGAACCAGAGAGGATGCTCGGGCAGGGTGCCCAGGGCTGCCCAGGATCCCCGGTCCCAAGTGGAGACAGGGTGTGGGAAGGAGGCCAGAAATCCCCAGACATTGCCTGTGACAGAATTCCTGGGCCCTAAATGCCTCTGGTGCTCTTGGCTCACACTGCCACCCCCTCCTCCTCCCAAGCTCTTCGGGGCGAAGCCAGAGGTGACCTGGTGAGATGTCAAACGTCTTATATTCCAGGCTGGCTCTATGACACACACTCTGCTGTGTGGCTTGGGGCAAGTTACAGCACCTCTCTGAGGCCCTGGCTTTCAGTCAGGAAACACATAAACTATAGGTATGGCCACTGCTCGTGGCTCTAACCTCTGGAGTGAGTGGCCTGCGACCTGATCTGTTCAGTCTTTCTTCGGGACGCTGGCAAGGGAAGGAGGTTGCTTCTGCTCCTGCTCAGGGCCTATGCCTGGGCAGGGGGGACAGCCTCACTGTGACAGACTAATGACATGCAGAGTGGAGCTCTTAGGCACATATCTTGACCTGTGTAGGTCCACATGCAGTGTCTCTGTGCCAGGTGAGTGCAGCATTACATGGCAAATATAAACCACCATGACAAGTTGACAGGGAGACCACAGAAGAGAGGAGAAGCATCTGCTTTCTAAACAAGAGGCCCCATGTGTTCATTGTGTACTGGACACCACCCCTCCTTTATCAGGTGGGGAAACTGAGGCCTGGCTCTGGCCAGAAAGCACTTCTCAGATTCATCACAGACAGAGGGAACCCCTGGGTTCTCATCTCAGCTCTTTCACCAACATGTCTAGTAACCTTGGTGAGACCTTGGGCCTCAGTTTCCCCATCTGTATACTGAGGAGTCGAAGGGGAACTCTCTGACCTTCTTGGGTTCAGTGGGTCCTATTGTCTGGAGTCAGGGACAGCCTTTCCCTGCCTTGTGCTCTGACCACCAAAAGGGTGTGTCTAAGCCCTGGGTGCCCCCATTGGGTCATTCCTATGATCTCCAGCCTCAGTGGGAATGACTTCTCCCTGGATGGTGTGTTCAGCTTGGCCCAGTGCTTCTCTACTCTGCAGTGGGTGTTCCATCTAGACATCAGGTGAGTGTGCCTCTCGGCCCCAAACCACCTCACCTCCTCATCCCATGGGCCATCTACTCCCACCTGTGTTTCTCGTCTGTCATATGCACGATGTGTCATCTTCAGGGCCTTGGGCAGTACCAGGCCCAGTGAGCATGTGATGAGTGTCCAATGAATGAATGACTAAATCCCTGAATGCATAAGTGTCGCATAAGGTCACTCAAATTTCTCCAAATTCACCATGGGAGAGTCCATGGACTCTCTCTCACTCACTCTCTGGATTATCCTCAGAGGCATTTAAGAAAACTGGGAGCTCCCTGGTGGCCACTGGGCACTCAGGGGCCTGCTTTGATGGTGGGGCCACTGGAACTGCGCCAAGCAGCCAAGCACCCAGCCAGCCACGGCATGGCATCCATGGTTTCAGGGTGGCCTGCCTCATTCCCTGAGGGTCCCCAAGAATGGGAGATGCCCTAGCAGATGGACCAGGATCCAGTACTCACCAGCTGTGCAGGCCCTTGAGCTTCCCTGTGCCTCAGTCTCCTCATCTATAAAATGAAGATAAAAGTTCTTCCTAACCTCACGGTTTGACTGTAAGAATCAAATGAGATAACATTGGTGGTTTGCATCATGTGTGCCTTGATACATGGAGGGTGTGGTTTAATCTATTTATGTTTGCTGAGAAAACAGGCCACCTCCCTTCCGGCCCTGGCCATCCTTGACCTGGCTGGTCTGGTCTCTTCACTCTGCCTGGGAGGGGGCCCTTCGCCCTTTCTCAGACTGCTACCTTGTCTCTGTTCCAGCTTTGAGAACCAGCATGTCCTCCTGGAAGGTGACAATGGAGACAGGTGAGGAGGCGGTGGCCCAGGCGGGGTGCTCTCTCCTCCTGCCCTGGTCCTCATTTGCCACAGGTCTGCCCACCCCAGACCCACACTGTCCACTGGCTACCCTTAGCCCTGGAGTAACCCCCCGGGTCTGGCACACTAGAACTGATCCCCACTTCCGTAACCACCACCCCTGTGTACATGGTCAGCAATCAGCTGCCGTGTTTCTTTCCTGGAAGAAGGCCATGCAGACGGGGAGGAGGGCATGACTTGGAGGGCTGTCAAGGCAGAGCAGGTGCAAGGAGCTTGCTGCAGTGCAGGAGGAGAGGGGAGCAGCCGTGCTTCTGCCTCTCAGGGACTTTCGCAGACTCATGACCGCATGTGAGTCACCGCCCTCTCACACTCTGAGCATCCCATTCGAGAAACCAAGAACCGTTGGTGGCCTGAAAAAAAAATGTTCCGCATCTTCACGGTACACAAACACTAGCGGTAGCTCTTCATGGAGGTTCCTGGCTGCCCCCTGCTGGTGCTGGGCCTCCTGGTCTCACTTAGGAGCGGTGGCTGCAGACAGGGCGGCCGGCGTGGCGCTGGCGGGGCAGAGAGAAGCGACAGCAGGTGGGCTGTCGGAAGCCGGGGGTGGCCCATAGCTGAGGGGTCTGGCTTCTCAAGCAAGGGTCTGTTTCTGGAGACCCTCTGGGTTCTGGAAGCCGAAAGAAGTGACGTACAGAGAGGCAGAAGTCACAAGACTGCCAAGTCGGTGGTCAGAGGGGGAGGGGCTCCATCCCCTGGATCCCCCTACCTAGTCAGGGGCTGCCCTCCTGGACAGGTGTAAGCTGCTAGGTTTTCTCACTCTGGCTTCTCTTCCCTGGGCCTCAGTTTCCCCATTTGACAACGAGGGGCTGGGCTAGGATCTAGTGACTTGACCGTTCCCAGGACCCCTTTCAGCCCTGACTTCCATGTCAGATCTGACCTTTCCTTTCAAAATGGCTTCCCCACTTCTAGGAACAAGTGGGCTGGTGGATCTTTGCCAGAGTTCCCGGCTGGACCTGAGTTCTCGGCCCTCGGTCAGCGCTGTGTGCCCAGGAGATTTTGGTACTGTCTCACTCATTTATCATACGAGGTGGTCACAATGAGGGTGGAGGGGGGCGGAGCCTGGGGGACTGGGGACTGGGATAGAGAGAAGAGAAAGCTTCAGAGAAAGGAGAGAGAAGGAGGGGTGAGTGTGAGGGCTGTGGGGAGCAGGCTACTGACCCCTTAGGGCAGCTCGGCTGGCCCAGGCCCCCATTCTCTGAAGCAAATAGGGCAGGCCAGCCACACCCTGCCTGGGGTTGCCATCTGCCTTGGGGGATACTCATTTTCCAGGAAGAAAGGGCCTGGCCTCTCTCCCCAAATGCACTACCCACCTACGAGGAAATGGGCTGTGGAGAAAAGGGCAGACTGCTTGTGATGGGCCAGGCCTGGGGGTTAGGAGGTTTCCCAACTCTGCCTAGAGGGATCATGAGGTCCCTGGCTGGGCTCTCCCCTCTCCCGGCCCTGATTTCCTCACCAAAGCTGAGGCCTGAACAGAATGAACCAGAACAAGAGAGCAAGTAGTGTCCCAGGCAGGAGGGACAGCGTGTGCAAAGGCCCAGAGGAGGCTTTTCAGCGTGGCTGGAGCACATCTGGGAGAATGGAGGCCAGTAAGGCTATAGGAATGTTATTTCACTTTCTTTTCTTTTTTTTTTTTTGAGTTGGAGTCCCACTCTGTCACCCAGACTGGAGTGCAG